CGCTCGCACCGCGCAGTGCAGCATCTCTGCAAGATCTCTGCACGACTGACTCGCGAGCGAGAAGCTTCTCGCTCTGGTGTTGCTCGGGAGAGCGCCGGTGTCGAGCTGTGCCAATCGATCCGAGATTCGTGATCACGAGTCGAGCGAGAACGCTCGGCCGTTTCGGGAGAGCGCCATGCGTGGTAGTGCCATCGACGCGCGCCGCCGCAGCAGCGCGTGCGTCTCGACGCTGCGCGTCGCGTTTACGCGGAAACCGCTGGGCCTGAAGCTCGATCACAATGGCTGTGTCGCCGGCGTCATGCTCGACGCCGCGGAGAGCCCGACGAAAGCCCTGCGGTGCGGCGACCAGCTCGTCGGCATCAACGACACGGTGTTTGTCGAGGACGACGAGGAGTGCGTCCAGCCCGACGAGGTCGTGGACCTGCTCTCCGAATACTTGGGCGCGGACGCGTTCCCGCTGTCGCTGACCTTCCGGCGCGACGGCCTCGCGTGCCGCCCCAAGGACCTCTTCGAACGCCAGACGCTGGTCCCCGCCCGCCGCGCGTCCGAGGGCCGACGCCGCAGCCGCGCCTCCGTCGACCTCGTCTGCCAGCCGAAGCGCAAGAAGCGGCGGACGACGCTCGCCGGCGTGGAGACGGCGCGGGACGACGAGAACGCTCCGCCGCGGCCGGACGACGACGGCGACGCCGCGGCGCCGCCGCCGCGGCCGGACGACGACGGCGAGCCGCGGGCGAGCGCGACGTCGGTCACGGGCATCACGGGCTCGAGCGCGCAGGCCGTCCCCGCGATCGAGGGCCTCGCGGACGCCGCGGAGACGACGGCGCCGGGCCGCGACTGCGTCAAAGTCCTCAAGCGCATCTTCGACGCGCGCGCGCCCGAGGGCTCCGAGGTGATTCTCCGCAAGTACGCGCCGGCCGCGCAGCGCCTCAAGGAGGGCCCGCGCAAGGCGTTCCTCGACGACTGCCCGGAGACGCTCTCGCGCGCCGAGCTCGACGCGATCTGGGCGCGGCACAAGAAGCTCTCGGCGCTGCTGCCGCTCTCCAAGTTCGCCTGCGCCTCCAAGTTCCAGTGCTTCCTCGTCGACACGCCGGAGGCGCGCGAGGACTACGCCCGCGTCAAGGCGGCGCTCGAAGCCGGGCCGCCGGAGGCGCCGCGGGAGGAGGAGCCGCCGCGGTCGCCGCCGGAGGAGCGGGCGCTGCCGCCGCCGCTGGAGGAGCCGCCGCTCGAAGAGGAGTCGCCGCTCGAAGAGGAGTCGCCGCTCGAAGCGCCGCCGGACTCGGCGGACCCGGAGACGGAGCCGATGGACTGCAGCGGCTTCCTGGCGCCGCGCGACGAGGAGCCGGCGTCTCCGCCGCGTGAGCCGTCCCCGCCGCCCCTGGCCTTGTCGCCGGTCGAGGAGCGGGTCTCGGCGACGTCGACGGTCTCCCTCGAGGAGGCGGGGCTCTAATACTTGCTCTAATGTAGGTTCCTTCAACGCCTTCAACGAAGTATAGTATCTAGATGTTTGTGTTTTCACAAACGCAGTCTCCGACGCTAAATCACCAATAATAATAATAATACTTGCTCTAATGTAGGTTCCTTCAACGCCTTCAACGAAGTATAGTATCTAGATGTTTGTGTTTTCACAAACGCAGTCGGCTGCCCCGACGTGCCCCGACCTTCAGCCTTCCACGCAAGTCGCGATGTGGCGGGTCGGGGACTACACGCGGGTCCCCGAGGACGCCCCCTCGCCCGACAGGAGGCGGCGCTGGGCGCTCCTCGGGCTCGTCGCGGCGACCTGCGGCGTCGCCGTCGGCCGGACCCTGGCGTCGACGCCCTCGCCCGCCGCCTTCGTCGAGGCCACGGCGACGGACGACATCGCGGCGGGGACCGCCGGCGACGACGACTGGCCCTACGAGGAGATGTACACGCCGAACCTCGACGGCGTGCCCGTGAACGTCATCCTGTCGGCCCCCACGCCGACGTCCATCATCGCGAGCTGCTGGTGCTCGACGGGCAGCAACGTCACCGTCACCTACTGGGAGGCGGGGAAGCCGGCCACGGCCAAGGCTCTGGGCGAGCCCTGCGGCGACCAGGCGGCCATGCGCCTCACGCTCTACCACCTGACGCCGGGGACCAAGTACGCGTACGTCGCGTCGATCCGCGGCGGCGCCGACGTCGCGACGACGGCGGAGCACGGCTTCTCGACGCCCGGCGCGCCGACGACGCGCTTCACGGTGAGCGCCGACGCCCACCTCTACAGCAGCGAGGCCCACCGCGCCGTCACGGAGGCCATGGCGTCGAGCGTGTCCGCGCGCGCGCCCGACTTCCACGTGCAGGTCGGCTGCGCGTGGATGCTCGACCAGTTCGTGGAATACGAGGCCAACTACAGCGACGTCTTCGACTTCATCCGGGGCACGCGCTACTGGTTCGGCGGCATCGGGTCCGACGCGGCGCTCTACCACGTGCAGGGCCCCCACGCGGGCGAGAACTTCATGGACTACCACACGTGCCGCGTGGGCCGCAACCTCAGCGCGCCCGCGCTGGCCATGCGGAGCCAGTGGTCCGCCATCGCGCGGCGCTCCGCCTACCCCGCGCCCGAGGCCAACGCGTTCTACTCGGGCAGCGACGTCGAGGACTCGTACCTGCCCTGCGTCTTCGACGGCGAGTCCATGGCGCTGAGCTACCCGGCCGTCGAGGTCGGCAACCGCCGGTCCTACTACGCCTTCGAGACCGGCGGCGTGCTCGTCATCGCGCTCGACACGTGGTGGTACTACGACGTGAACCAGCTCAACGGCACGAACTGGATGTTCACCCTCGGCCGGAAGCAGTACGAGTGGCTCCAGGAAACCCTATCGACGAAGAACGCGTCGCGCACCGTGGTCATGACGCACAACCTCGTCGGCGGCTACGCGAAGACCTTCGACTACTCGACGCAGCGCGGCGGCGCGCGCGCCGCGCCCATGTTCGAGTGGGGCGGCCGGGGCCACGGCGGCACGCTCGAGTTCGACCGGTACCGCCCGGGCTGGACCGCGCCCATCCACGACCTCCTCGTCGCCCACGGCGTCGACGCGGTCGTCCACGGCCACGACCACGTCACGGCCGTCGAGTTCGTCGACGGCGTCATGTACCTCGAGCTGCCCTGGATGCTCGGCGGCGGCGCGACGGACATCGAGATCGAGGCCTACCTCGGCACGGACAAGGCCTACTGGGACCGGGAGCGCCCGAGCTACGCGTCCTTCGAGTCGAGCGAGGACGGCGGGCTGCGCCTCTCCATCGTCGACATCTTCACGGACGAGGAGGCCTACGGCCACACGTTTCAATGAGCCGCCCGCCTGCGGACCCGTGGCCAAGCGCCGCGCGCTCGTCTTGAACCGCTCTCCGAGCGGGGCGAGATCGGCCCGCAGGCGGCTTGCCACGGTGTTTAACTTAACTTTTTGTGTTTTTTTTCGATGCTTACCTTCGCGCGCGCGCCTACATGAAGTCCATCGACGCGACGTTCGCGTCGTCGGCGTCGCGGATGGCGCCCGGCGCGTCGCCGAGGTCGTTGGCGGACTTGAGGATGAAGGTCGGGTTGAGGGAGATCTTCTCGGCCATCTTGTCGACGATGGCGCCGAGCCTGAGGGCCGCGGCCATCTCGCCGTGGAGCGTCGCGGCGATCGCCTGGGCAGGACAAGAGAGATTCAACGTCGCTTCACGTGAGTGTTCCGCGCGCGCGCGTTCCGGAAAAAGCATCCACGCTTCGAGACCGTTCCAAGAGATGATCGCTCGTCCAAAAATCAGCCAAAACGAGTGGAAAACGGCCGAGATATGAGGCTTTGAAGTTGGGAATTTTCGCTCTCTTGTCCTGCCCTGGCGATCGCCTCCTCGGACGCGGCGCCCGGCCCCTCCTCCTCGGAGAAGTGCGCGACGCGCGCGGCGTCGTCGATGGTCACGCGGAGCTCCTGGCGCTTCGCCATGTTGAGCAGCAGCGCCTCGGCCGCGTCCGCGTCCGGGAGCCCCGCGCGCGCGGCGACGTCCGCTAAGGGGAGGTTGAGGTACGTGTGCGTGAGCTCCACGGCCTTGGCGCGGCGGAGCGCGTCCGGGAGCCGCGCGGCGAGCTCGGCGTTGCCGTCGCGGGCCAGGGCCTCGGCGTGCTTGGCGAGGGCCGCGTCCAGCGCGCCGAGGTCGCCGCCGGCGACGGCCTCGGCCAAATCGTGGTACGGCGCCGCGAGGGTTTTCGACGCGCGCGACACGACGCTCGAGCAGTACTTGGGCAGGTTCCCCGCGTCCCCGGGGTCGCCCCGGCGCGCCAGCAGGCGGCACAGCACGAGCTTTTTGAGGCAGGCGACGGCGACGGCGCTCAGCGACACCGCGGGCGCCGTCGCGCCGACGGCGAAGAGCTCCGCGGCGTCGCGCCAGCGGCCCAGGCCGCAGCACACGACGCCCCCGTAGTAGGCGTACTTGAGGAGATCCACGGCCTGGACGCCCGCGGCGGCGAGGCCCGACGCCGGCGACCCGCGCGCCGCGCGCGGGCCCGGCGCGGCGTCCGCGAGCGCGTCGGCCGGGAAGCCGCCGCCGCCGCCGGCGTCGGGCCCGTCGCCCGGCGGCGGCGTCGGCGGCGGCGCCGCGGCGCCGCTCTTCCGCGGGAAGGCCGCGACGCGGAACACGGGCGCGTCCTCGAGGAACCGCGCGCCGCGGCCGTAGCGCCGCGCGGCGACGCAGCACTGGAGGCAATCGCCGTGCGCGGCCGTGAGGCACGCGGGCTCCGGCGCGAGCTTCGCCGCCAGCGACGCGAGGGCCTCGGCGGCGACGGCGGCGGCCGCGCCGCCCTCGCGGCACGCGAGCGCCGCGAGGCGGTGGCCCGCCGACGCGGCCAACTTCGGCGCGACCTCGAGCTGCGCGCGCGCCGCGCGCGACGCCCAGGCCTCGGCGCGCCGCGCGAGGGGCAGCACGCGGGACACCGCCGCCGCGTCGTCGCCCGACGCCTCGAGGCACCGGAGCCGCGCCGCGAGCACGTGGAGCAGGCCGAGCGCGTGGCGCTCCGCGTCGAGCGCGTCGAACGCCTCGCCGACGGCGCCGGGCGCCGCGACGAGGGCCCGCAGGTTCTCCTCGCGGCTCCGCAGCTGGTCGTGGAGCGCGCGGAGCTCGGCGTCGGACGTGCCCGCGCCGACGATGAGCTGGACGACCTGGTCCATCGGTGGCAAGGGTCTGTTGGTGACGGGCGCGCGCGTCGCTGTGTTTGCTGTGGCGCAGCCGTCGGCCGTCGGCGACGCGAGGCGAGGTGTGGTCGGCGAAGCGGCGACCCGAGGCGAGCGGCGCTCGGCGCGTCGGCGTCGGCGAGCAAGGCGGCGTCGAGCCTCGACCTCGAGTCGTCGAAGGCGAGGTCGCAGGCCGGGGTCTGGCCTCGCCGGGCCCGGCAGCGCCCGCCCGCGGCGTCGTACGCGTCGCAGGCCTCGTCGCCTCCCGCCGCTTCACGCGCCGCTCCCCACCCTCCTCAGCGACCTCGGCGGCGACGCGAAAGGTAAGCGGGGGGGCGGGGCTCTTTTGCGAATCGTGGCGTGGACCGCGCCGGCGGCGAAAATCAGACGTCCTTCTGCCCGTCCTTCTGGAGGTCCGGGACTTTGCCGTCGTCGTAGGGGATGCGGACCTCCTCGAAGTTGCGCCAGCCGTCCCAGGTGATCTTGATGACGTTGTGGAGCGGGATCTCGATCTTGGGCGCGTCGGCGCGGGGGATGCCGACGAGGTAGGAGTAGAGGATGCGGAGCGTCGCCTGGTGCGAGACGACGAGCAAGGGCTCCGTGTAGGACTCGAGCTCGTGCATCAGCGGGTCGAGGCGCGCGATCAAATCGAGGTAGGATTCGCCCCGCGGGTAGCGGTACCCGAGCTTGTCGCGCTTGCGCAGGAGGCTCTCCTCGTTGAAGGTCTCCTCGATCTCCTTGTACGTCATGCCCTCGCAGTCGCCCGCGAAGATCTCGTCGAGATTCCGGTAGACGCGCGGCGACATCTGGTGCCAGACGCCGCCCTGGCGGAGCTCGAGCACGGGGTGGGGGATGTGGCGCGCCGTGTCGATCGTGCGCTTGAGCGTCGACGTCCACAGCCGCGCGGGCACGATGGGCCGGAGCGAGCTCTCGCCCGTGGACGGGTCGACGCAGGGGAAGAGGCGGCCGAACAGGGGCCGCGCGCAGGTGTCCGGCGGCGGGCCGTCGGCCTCGTCGGCGTCGTCGTCCGTGGGCGCCGCGGAGTGGGGCCGCGCGTCGCTCCCCTTGCCGTCCTTGCGCGTCCAGACCTCGCCCGGCACGAACTCGCCGAGCCACTTCGCGTAGCGCTCGCCGGCGTCCGTGAGGCCCGGGTTGCCCCCGATCTTCTGGCAGGCGTTGTAGAGCGACTGGCCGTGGCGGCTCAGGTAGACCGTGCGGGGCTTGGGGTGCACGTGGCTCAGGTACTTGACGATCTGCATCAGCAGGAAGCCGCGGATGCGGTTCGTGACGACCTTGTCGCCGTAGTCGATGAGCTTGACGTAGCTTAGCTCGTCCTCGGAGCCGTCGTCCTGGATCGTCACGAAGCTCCGCCCGTACTCGTTCAGCGCGCGGTCCGTCGCGCGGAGCCTCCCCGCCAGCTGCTGCGGCCCCAGGCGCTCGCCGTCGGGCCCGACGGCCAGTCGCTGCGTGAGGAACTTGCGCACGACGCCCTTGTCGCAGACGATGACCTCGATGAAGAGGAGCTTGACGCGCACGCGCATGGACGCGAGGTGCTTCTGCATCGCGTAGCGGCTGTCTTTCGTCGCGCCGGACCACGCGCGCGACAGCGTCGAGAAGCCGTCGGACGTGTCGAGGATGGCGATCTTGCCCGAGTCGACGTTCTTCTTGAGGCGATCTAAGGAATCGTCGTCGATGCCCTCCATGGAGCGGATGAGCTGCGTCGTCGCCGTCGCGTCCTCCTCCTCGAGGTACGCGGAGAGCGCGTCGCCGAGCTCGACGTCGCTGCCGTACTCGGGCTTGGCCAGGTCGAAGATCTCGCACTGGGCGCCGTGGAAGAACTTGAGGTAGCGGCAGAGCCGCTCGGCCATGAACTGCTTGCCGCGCGCGGGCAGGCCGATGAAGCAGATGACGTGGCGGTCGCCGAGCGCGCCCGCGAGGCCCGCGACGGGCGGCGGCATCATCGTCGGCTCCGGGTTCCGCGTCGACGCCGACAGCAGGTGCTCCTGGGACTTGACGTAGTTCTTCGGGTAGTCCGCCGCCTTGGGCGAGCTCCCGTTCTTGCGGCTGGCCTCCGCGGTCTTGGGCGACGCCATGTCGAGGGAGGCCATGGGCGCGGCGAGCGGCGGTGGTTGCTGCGTGCGATCTCTCGGAGCGGCGCGGAGCGCGGGCGCGCAGAGGGCCTCGGCACGTGCGCGGCGGCGAGCGCCAGAACCCGATTGGCAGCGGCGGTCTGACGGCACAGGCGAGAGGCAAGATCGGAGGTGGGGACGATCATGATGAAGGGGGGTGCCGCGATGTTGAGGCTGGCCAATGGGCCGCCTGAAACGAGCGATATATGCGAAATAATGCGTCGCAGCCTTGCTAACGACTGCTAGCGCCACCGCCGCACGTATGGCCACGCAGCCGAAGCGCGCGCGCGTCGCCGCCTACGTCGAGCTCGTCGGCGGCGCGGACCACTGCGAGACCTGCCTCCTCGTCGTCGTCGCGCGCCTGTCGTCCGACGTCGAGCGGACGCGCGAGGCCTGCTACGCGTTCCGCTGCGGCGAGGGGAGCGGCCGCCTGCTGGGCGCCTGCGGCGTGTCGACCGCGGGCCTGCGCGCGGTCTGCTGCCTCGACGCGGCCGACGCGTTGGGCGCTCCGGAACTGGCGTTGAACCACCGGTCGGCCGGCGGCGCGGCGCTCGCGGTGGTCTGCGGGTGCGACGACGCGCGGCGCGTCGCCGCGGCGGCGGTGGCGGCGACGAGCCCGGGCTGCGGCGCGGACATCGTCGGGGTCTACGCGGACGACCACGTAACGATCGCCGCGGAGCCCGACGGCCGCGGCGCGGCGCGGTTCCGCGTCGTCGTCCGCGGCGGCGGCGGCGACGGCGACGCCGTGGTGCTCGTCTGCCCCGGCGCCTACGACGGCGCCGCGGCCCGGGTCGCGCTCCACCGGGGCGGCGCGGGAGCGCCGGGAGAAGCGCCGGGCGCCGCGGCCGTCGTCGACTACGGCCGCGACGGGTCGAAGCGGGGCCTGCGGCGCGCGAACGAGCACGCGGCGCGGCGCGCGGCCTTTTTTCCCGCGGGCGCCGTCGCCGCCGCGCTCGACGCCGAGGCGACGGCCGAGGGCGTCCTCCGGGTCTACGCGCAGCCCGCCGTCGTGGTCGAGCGCGGCGCGGGCGACTACGACGCCGAGTCGCCGGCCCGGCTCTTCGCGCGCTGCCGCGCCGAGGCCGCGGCGGCGGCGGCGGTGGACGATGCAGCGGACGACGACGCGCCGCCGGAACGAGCGCGGGGATCTTCGAGTATCCCCTCGGAAGCGGCGTCGGAGCCGGGCGACGGACCCGCGACGAAGCTGCTGTTCCTCGGCACGGGGTCGTCGAAGCCGTCGAGCAAGCGCGGCGAGTCGGCGATCCTCGTCGAGTTCCGCGGGCTCCGCGCGCTCTTCGACTGCGGCGCCGGCACGCTCCGCCAGCTGCGGCGGCTCCTCGGCGCGTCCGGCGCCGCGGCCGCGCTCGGCGGCCTCGACGCGATCTGGATCTCGCACGCGCACCTCGACCACTGCGGCGGCCTGCCCGCCGTCGTCGCCGCGGCGCTGGAGGCGCGGCGACGGCGGAGCGACGCCGCGAACGCCGCGGCCGCCGCCGCGCTCCGCGGCGGCGGCGCGGCGGCGGCCGCGCCCGCGTTCCCGGCCGCGAAGCTCCTCGTCGCCGCGCCGCCGCGGGCCCTCGACGCGCTGCGCGCCTGCGGCGGCTACGAGGGCGACTGCGCGCTCCGCGAGCTCGCGGGCCCCGCGGCGTCGCTGCGCTGGGGCCCGGCCGAATTCCGGAGCGTCCGCGTGAACCACTGCCGCGACGCCTACGCCGTCGTGCTGGCCGTGGGCGGCGCCCGCGTCGCCTACAGCGGCGACTGCCGCCCGTCCGACGCGTTCGCGGCGGCGGCGGCGCGCGGCTTCCCGGCGTCGGCGTGCGAGGTTTTGATCCACGAGGCGACGTTCGACGACGGCGAAGTGGCGCACGCGGTCGCGAAGCGCCACTCGACGGTGAGCGAGGCGCTGGACGTGGCGAAGCGGGCCAAGGCGACGACCTGCGTGCTGACCCACTTCTCCCAGCGCTACGGCGCCATGTCCGCGCCCGCGGCCTTCGACGGCCTGACGTTCCGCCCGGAGCACGCGGCCGCGTTCGCGGCGCGGTCGCGGCGCTGCGAGGCCTACCTGGCGGCGCGCGCCGCGGCGCGGAAGCGGCCGCTCGACGGCGACGACGACCCGCGGCCGCGGCCCGGCGCGGCCCTCGCGCGGTTCCGCGAGTCGGCGGCCGTCGCGCCCGTCGACGGCGGCGACCCGCTCGCCGCGGCGCTGCTGGCCTTCTACGGCGCCCGCGCGCCGGACCGGGTCGCGGACGTCGCCCGCGTGCTGCCGCTCTTCCGCCGCAACCCGGCGGTCATGAACGGCAAGCTCCTCCGCAAGTACGGCGCGGCGCTCCCCGAGGACGCGTTCCGCGCCGCGGACGCGGCTCCCGCCGACTCGGACTCCGACGACTCCGACGACGGCCTCGCCGCCGCCCTGCGCGCGCCCGGCGGCTTCGCGGCGCTCGCGGCCGCGGGCGACGACTGCCTTCCGCCGCGGCCCGCGGGTAAAATTCGTTGAGGTAGGTCGTGCCTTGGATTCGAAAGATTGGATTCGCCGATAGAAGGGGAATTTCGGCTTCGTTCTGCCCATCACGATGCGTTCCTGTGCGCTGCTGACCGTCGTCGCCGCCGCGTCGGCCCAGGAATTCACGCGCATCCCAAAGGACCTGAGCGGGCTGCCCCACGGCTTGGTCGTGCCCGAGACGCTGCGGGCGCCGGCGCACGCCGAGGCGCACGCCGCCGTCGCGCGCCACGCGGGCCGGCGGGACCTCGGCGCCGCCGGGCGCCGCGCCTGCGCGGCGCGCGCGGAGCTCCTGCGGTCGCTCGTCGCCGCGGGCGACCTCGAGGCCGCCGTGGATCTGTCCCTCGCGGCGGACGCGGCAACGCGCGCGGCGCTGCCCGCGGGCTGCGTGCTCGAGGACCGGCCCCACGCGGGCTTCGCGGACGTCGTCACCAAGGTCCAGCGCAAGGGCATGGACGGCGAGCGCATCTCCCACGTCCGGCTCGCCGCGGGCGAGAAATTCGCCAGGGTCGAGCCCGTCGGCTCGCGCGCGTTCTCGGGCTCCATGAAGCAGGTCCCCGTCGTCGGCTTCGAGCTCAACGGCACCTTCTACCTCGCCGAGTCGGCGATCCACTGCGACAAGGCCGCCCTCTGCGTCGGCGGCGACGGCGCCCCCGCGCAGCTCGCGAGCCTCGACGAGGCCGCGCGCGTCTCCGAGTCGTTCGCGCGCCGCGCGTCGGAGCGCCGCCTCGGCAAGATCAAGAAGGACCCCTTCGCGTCGGGCGCCATGGGAAGCATGAAGCCCCTCGAGGCGAACGTTCGCCTGCCCTGGGTCGCCGTCGCGGAGGACGAGGTCACGGACTACGTCACGGGCGCCAAGTCGCTGCTCATCGTGCCCGTGTGCTACAACGACGAGTCCTGCGACGAGTCCTGGGACTCCCTGGGCCTCATCGCGTCGGCCCACGACGGCGACCCCTACGCCTACTTCGAGGAGGTGGTCTCCGTGCTCAACGCCTACGCGGACCAGTCGTCGTTCGGCCGCGTGAGCTTCGAGGCCACGTACGCGGACATGGTGACGCTCGACACGGTGAGCGTGGGCCAGTGCGGCTCCATCGACTCCATCAACTACTGGTCCGGCGGCGACAACGCCTACGACACGCTCTCCTACCCGGTCCTCAACGACGCGGGCACCTACGGCTCCGTGCCCGAGGACTGGGACTACGTCGTCATCATGCTCCCGGGCTGCGACTCCCTGTCCTGGAGCGGCATCGGCTGGGTCTCCTACCCGGGCACGGCCCAGTCCGTCTACGCCTACGACTACGACGCGTCCGTCGCCCACGAGCTCGGCCACAACTTCGGCGCGAACCACGCGTCCTACATGACCGGCGGCGAGCGCGGCGCGGTCGCGTACGCGGACGACGAGGGCTCCTGGGTCGAGTACGGCAGCCCCTACTCGACCATGGGCCAGGGCGACATCGAGGACGACCTCGGCGCGTCGGCCCAGTTTTTAGCGTCGACGAAGATGGTCTTCGACTGGATCGACGACGACCAGGTCGAGTGGCTCGAGCCCTACGACTTCGCGGACGGTTCCGCCCAGTGCAACCCCTGCGGCCCCTACACGCTCAACCGCATCGACGACGGCACGCTCCCCGCCGAGGGCGACGGCACCGTCGCCGTCGTCGCGCTGTCGTGCGAGGCCGCGGACACGTACTTCTTCCTCGAGCACCGCGTCACGGACACGTCGGGCACGGGCGTGCTCCTCCACTGGGCGTCCATCGACGACACCTACGGCGGCACGGGCTACGTGTCCAACACCGTCACCGTCGACGCGCACGCGGACACGTCGTCGTGGGCCGACGCGGCTCTCTACCCCGGCGAGTCGCTCACCATCGACCTCACGTCGTCGTCCGGCGCGTCCTACCCCGTCATCGTCGAGGCCGTCGAGACGGACGCGGGCGCCCTCGAGGTGACGATCACGGCGTCGGACACGGCGCCGCCGACGGTCACGCCCGCGCCGTCCACGGCCGCGCCGATCCGGTCGCCGACGACGGAGTCCGAGTCCTGCGGCAGCGTCTGCTGCGACACGCTCAGCGGCCTCTCGAACACCTACTCCTGGAGCGACGCGACGCGCATCGCGCGCACCGACGACGAGGACGGCTACTGCTGCTCCGAGCACTGCTCCTTCGCGATCGTCGAGGGGTCGACGACGTACTACCTCCAGTACGTCTGGAGCAAGTACTACATCACGGCGACGGACCCCTGCCACTCGTCGGGGAGCCTGTCCTACTACGACACCTTCCAGGTGGAGGACGTGGAGGCGGCCTGCGTCGCCGAGCCCACGGCCATGCCGACCGACGAGCCCGACGCCGTGCCCGTCCCGACCGCCCCCCAGCCGACGCCCTACGCGCCGACGAAGACGCCGACGGCCGAGCCGTCGCCCAAGCCCACGAGCAACCCGTCCTACGGCGCGACGGCCATGCCCACGGTGTTCGTCGGCGACCCCACGCGCACGCCCGTGTCGGCGCCGACGCCCGCGCCGTCCGCGGTGCCGTCCTACGCCTGCGGCGAGGGCCAGCACCTCTACTGGCTGCAGAAGGGCCCCTCGGAGTCCGCGGACGAGTGGGAGGCCGCGACGATCAAGGCCTTCGTCGGCGACGGCATCGGCCTCGGCGACCAGGCGAACACGCTCTACGACCTCACGCCCGGCGAGCACTCCGCGGGCGGCAAGCGCCAGTACCTCTGCTTCCCCAACGCCTGCATCACGCTCTCCATCGACTTTGGCATGGAGGAGGACATGCCCGACGAGGACGCCTACATCCGCTTCGGCTCCGAGACGGGCGAGACGACGACGTTCTACTTCTCCGAGGACGCGGCCGTCGACACGCTCTTCACCTTCGTCATCTGCTTCGCCGACGGCGCCTTTGGGAACGTGCCCACGGGCTTCCCCTCGGTCATGCCCGCGCCCCTGCCGACGCCCGAGCACACGCTCGCGCCGACGCCGCACCCGACGCCCCGGCCGACGCCCAGACCCACGCTCTACCCGACGCTCCAGCCTTCGGACCGCCGCATCATCGAGGAGCCCGCGCCGACGCCCGTGCCCACGACGACCCCCGCGCCCTCGTCCTTCGTCTGCGAGGACAGCGCGACGCCGGTGCCTCGCCGTCGCCCCGCCCCCGCGCGCCGACGCGCGACTCGCTCGCAGGCACGTCCTGGTACACGAAGAAGAGCAAGAACACGTGCGAAAAGTACGTCGCGAAGAAGGCGAAGAACTGCAAGAAGACGGACGACTTCGACGTCAAGGGCCAGGTCCGCGCGCGGCGTCCGCCGACGCGCGCGCGCGCGCGCGAAACGCCCCGCCGCAGGTCGCGTGCGCCCTCACGTGCGGCGAGTGCATGCCGCCGCCGTCGCCCTACCCGTCGTCGGCGCCCACGGTCACGCTGATGCCGACGACGCCGGCCGACGACTGCGCGGACTCGACGTCGTGGTACTGCGCGTCGCCGGCGCCCCGTTTCCTTGCCGGATACGCGCGCCGCCCTGTTTCCCTCCCGCGAAGTAACACCACACCCCCCCGCGACGCAGACAAGAAGAGCAAGGACACGTGCGAGGACTACGTCGCGAAGAAGAGCAAGAACTGCAAGAAGTACGGCTTCGACGGCACCCAGGCCAAGTACGCGTGCCCCGCGCTGTGCGGCGAGTGCGAGGTCGAGGTCGACGACGCCGCGTGCGCCGACTCGACGTCCTGGTACTGCGAGAGCCGGCGTCCCGCACGTGCGACGTCGGCGGGGCGCGACGTGACGCGGGACGCACCGCGCGATTGCGCCGGGGGACGCGTCGGCCGGTGCGCCGGCGGCGGCGCGCATTTCGCCCGCCCTCCCCCCGCCCACGCGATCGCGCTTCCCCTCGCAGACAAGAAGAGCAAGGACACGTGCGCCGACTACGTGACGAAGAAGAGCAAGAACTGCAAGAAGGACGGCTTCGACGGCACGCCGGCCGAGTCGGCCTGCCCCGTGACCTGCGGCGCGTGCTAGGCGCGCGACCCCGCGCGCCGCCGCCCCTCCGCCGACGCCGCCACCGATCGACCCCCCGATCCGACAAGGCCCCGACCCCGGGCGGCGTGGTAACCCATCATACCGGCGAGAAGCGTGGGAAGGCTCGGGCCGCGCGGCGGACGGCCGCGGCCGTCGACGCAAGCTTATAGGCTTAAGAGATGAGCTTACAGCCCGAAGGCCTCGATGAGCCCTTTCCTCATGGTTGCGCTGTCGGCCATCAAACAACTCGAGAGCTTGGCCTTCTTGCAAGCGGCGCGGAGCTTCTTGAAGGTCATCTTCTCGATGGCCGCCAAATCGAGGCCCGCGGGCGCCGCCTTCACCACGGCCTCGGGCGCGAAGTCGAGCGCCAGGTCGCGCGCGATGGAGTGCGCCTTCGCGGCCCCCGCCGTGCGCGCCCGCGCGTCGCCGCGGACGCCGTCGAGGTCGCCCGCGGTGGCCTCGGACGCCGCGCTCAGGCCGTCCATCGCCGCGGCGTAGGCCGCGAGGTGGGGCGTGAGCTTCTCGTAGACGCCCGGGCCCTTGCAGAATCCGCCGGCGACGGCCTCCTGCACGACCATGGGCGGCAGGTCCAACGCGCCGTCGGCCTTCTTAGGCAGTTTCGAGCAGTGGCGCTGCCAGAGGTCGTCCGGCATTGCGTCCGGGTCCAAAGCCGCGGCGCGGACGAAATGAGTAAGCATAGTCGACAATAATAACCACTCGCGCACCTCCTGCGACGCGCAGAGGCCGAGGACGAGGTAGACCATGTCGTCGTCGGCCTGCGGGAATAACACGACGAGCGCCGCGGAGTGCGCGAACAATAAGGGTTCCTTGAACGTGCTGTCGACGCGGGACACGGCGCGCCACGTGTTTGACAACGAGATTGTCACTGGAATCATTCGCCCTTTATACTTCACTCCTGCCGAGTGCTTTAACTCCGAGGCCGACGCCGCCGACGCGTTGAGGCATCTCAAGTTCACGAACGTTCTGACACCCACCGCGTGAGACACCCGCTTCTCGCTGCGCGCGTCCGCAGATACTTTGAACAGCGCCGTCGGTTGCGTCGACCGCAGGTCCATTGTCCGAGAGGCCGCATTGGCGGCCGTCACGACACCTCGGACCGCGCTCGCGACATCGAAGGTCCCCCCCGAGAGGCCCTCGAGCTTTACGATCGTGCCTCGCGGGACGAGCGGGCACTCCAGGAGCGCATCCAGCAGCGCCGTGTTAATGCAGGTGATCTTTTTGGCCGAACCTCCGGCGTTTGGAGACGCATTCCAATTGAAATATTGTTTTCCTCTCGCTGTGTAATTCTTCTTGTACCAGATCTCGTAGA